ATACAGTCATCGATAAAGTCAGTATGTATAACTACAGAATACAATTGATAGGGAGCACGCATACACTAGTGGTACATAGGAATAGAATGAAGCAGTGTTTTGGTGAGCCGGGAAGTAACACAGTTCCCAAGGTTGTCAGAAATCAGGATGAAACAAATGGTGGCTGGACTAGATTAGAGTGTATGCCTGACATAACACCGGTTGATGCAAATGATATCATAGAGGAGGACAGGGATTTACTAGATGCTATGGAACCTGCAATTGTCCAGGAAGATGTTGCCTTACCTACTCCACCTGCTCCAGTTTTACAACAGGTACCTGTCCGTCGCTCAACTAGGACAAGGAAGCAAACAGACTTTGGACCATTTTATCGGTATTAGTTTGAGGGGACTCAAACTCTAGCAAGGGAGTAATGTAACAATTATTATATTTATGTTATCATGACCATTTAACCATTACCATGTATTTAACTATTGATAATAACTAGTGATTTGTGTGGTTCTTTGATGATACTTTGATTTGGTCTGTTAAAACTTGTTACACTGCTATCTAAAATGAATGGCAGTAAAAAAGGTCCAATAGGCGAAGAGAACACAGGTACTAAAACTAAAGACTCCAAAGTAATAATTTGTGTCATACATGCAACAAATGAAAGATATAGCGACATTGTTCATACAATGTAGTACACATCACAGGGGCGTAGACAGGGGGGCAAGGGGGGCAAATGCCCCCATTTTGAAATCAAAATTTAAAAATAATAAAATAATAAGCTGCTTTTGGAAGGAAAAGCTGTTCTACAACTTACATATGAAAGGAAAAGGCTAAATCAGTCCTTTTGTGATGCCATTACAAAGCTGAAAAGGTATTCAACATTGCCTATGGTTGTTCAAGAAGTCCACCGTCTTAAAAATAAGGTGTGGTCAAGCACTAAAAGGGCGTGGTTTCGCAAAACTTCGCGGGGTGCATCGCACGCCACACAGCTTGCCCCCTCTTTCCAAAAATCCTGCCTACGCCTCTGCATCATGCAGGCAAATAGCACCAAACAAACTGTCATACCTTTAATAGTAGCTGGCACCTTTATAAAGCGATTATTATACTCATTTGGATAACTTCCATAATCAGCAACTATATGTTCATATTGAGCATCCTTTACAGACTTTGTTTTGGGTGAATATACACAATACTTGTATGGCACTCCATCAGACACAATATTTGATCCAATTTTAACTTTTAAAGTCACTTCACGCATATCATCAATGCCGCTACTGAATATAGTAGTTAATATTAATTAATTGAATCATGATAGGCATACCATATATTTATTTCACAGGGTCCAACATCACACTGCCAGCTACCTAATTTATTACTTCCAAATCGAATACAAACACGAGATGTGTCATCAAACTCCCACAATGAAAGAGGCAGCAAAGCATGAAAAACAATGGTAGTCATCTGATTAGGACTACCTACTAAACCTTGAGGAGGTTCTTTCCAACTACAAGGCCTATAATAGCATTATTATAACAACATATACATAAAATAAAATAACTGACGTTATTCTTGCTGATGTGTTAGTAGTGACACTACTGTTCTGCTTCAAAGTCTTAGCAGTCTTACCACTAGAACTCTTTCCAGCAAAAAGAGCAGAGTCATCTACTGCAGATTTTTGATATGGCACAAGAGTCTAAAATAAAATTAATTGACATAGTAATAATAGACAATGCAAATACTAACCTTTCCTTCACTGCCCTTTAAATGCTCTTCTTGATGTTTCGAATGCTCTTCCTGTGAATCTAATCCACCACTGTTGCCAGGCAAGTGTTCTTTATTGTGTTTAGGATTCTTCCTTAAATTGATACTCAAATCTGGTGATGCTGAAGCCATACTGTATTCATCATTATCTTTTTCCAAATTTTTATTTGTGTTGGATTTGGTGGTATTGTGATTAGCATCAGATGTCTCTGAAGAGCCATCAGAATTAGGCTTATCTTTAACTACAAGTGAATCACCTTCAGACTTTTTTGTAAGTGTTTGGGGATTAGTATCAAGGCATTTTTTTGACTGTGGACCAAATATCTGAGAGTTAGGAAGAGACAGCATCTTGTCACTATGGTTGCTGTCTTTAGTTTTGCATTCTTCTTTAGATGCACCTTTAGTTGAATCAACTTGGTCATCTAAACATGTAGATAATGGGATAGCTGAATGAGGCACAGGAGTAGATAAACCAGGAGCAGAAAAGGTACTGCTGGAGTGAATTGAAGTTGTTGTAGTGGATGATGTTGATGTATGTGTAGTAGAAAATGAGTCAAAATAAGATGGTGTGCTTGATGGTTGAAAGGCTGAGTCAGAAGAAGACAATGAAGGGAATTGATCTGGTTTAGCAGTCAAATTATTTGATACCAGTTCATTTTTAGACTGTTTAGATGCTTCTTCTTCAGCTTGATGATAAGGAAAGGACAAACAAGTACCAGTCAAGGAGAGTTCCTTTGGCTGGGTACCAGCACTAAATGGTGAGGTCACATGAGCAATGGTAGCAGTATGTGTACTACATGCATCAGATGACACACATACCCGAACAATTTCTTGTTCTAAAGGTTTTTCTATAGGTGAATCTGACAGCTTAGGTTGTTGAGCAGCTTCATTATTTAAGTCATCTTTTGGTGCTTTAATACTTGAACTTTCTTCATTAGAAGGTTGGTCCACTTTTTTGCCACTAATTTCAAGCGAAGGAGATGACGTGGCACTTGTCATTAACTGGGAATCGCTTTGACTACCATGCTGACTATCATCTTGTTTTGAATGTTCTTGACTGCTTTTCATTTCATCATTATGACCTATTTTTTTGTCACATGCAAGCTCAGCGCTTCCTACAATAGAAACATTGATTGGCATAGTTTCCTGTTCACTTGATATAGTAGTCACAACTAACGACTGGTTATTTAACTTTTCCCTGGATTCTTCAACAGGAGTCACCTGCTCAATATCAGAAACAGATTCATCAAAATTAGCATTAGAGGTTAGAGGGTGGTTTTGATCAGTTGGTTGAGATGCAGACGTGTCTGGTGGTTTTGGAGGTGGCTGTGATCGAACATCTTCAACTTCTTGAGGTGAATCGCAACTATAGCAAACTTCTGAGGACAGCAAAAGAGATGCTCCACACGAACATTCTTTTAAAGGAGTCTGTTCAAAAATGCTTTTATCTTGTGGAGCAGAGCAATTCTTACATTTTTGAGAATCAAACGGTAATGAAACTTCACACAATACACATTGTTTCTGTCTGCGAGTCTTACATTTACCACAAAGACTTTCTTTTTTGGAAGAAAAAGGTGTTTTACACTTCTTACAATAGCCAAAAGACTCCTTAGACATAATTCTAAAAGGATAGACAAAATTAAAAATGAATGCACTGTTATACATAAAATTTAAGCACTTGGCTTTGGCTACCCTAAATTGAAAGGAAAAATTTCTCTAATTATCATTTTTTTTCTGATGCATATAAATGTGCCTATGTTGTAAACAAGCAGATTCCAGTTTAAAATTGGATTTTATAAATTTTAAAAGTTACTCAAAAATTGGGCCAAAGTCCCTGTATATAGGGTTTTTAACTGAATTTTATCAAAAATAGCTAGGAGAGATTTTTCTACTTTTATAATTTTTTCCTGATGCATATAAATGTGCTTATGTTGCATAAAAGTTTGAGTACGTTCCAATCAAAATTGGATTTTTTATAAATTTTTGAAGTTGCTACAAAAATTTGGCCAAATTAATTTCCAGCCATAATTTTAGGCAATTTTGTCAAAAATGGCAAAAAGAAATTTTCCCATTTTAAATTACAATTTCTACTATCAATACATGTTCTTATATTTTGGCTCTTGTAGAGCCTTGTCTTATGCTTTCAATAACATTTTGAAAACATCTGTCACTCAATTTATGAGGCATAATAACCAACCAGTTTCATTTTACCCAAAACAAAATTATCAGTGACAAAGCCTCTATATACTAGGCTATGAACATGTCACGTCAGTATGCCATGGTACATGTATGTGGTGTGCTTAAGTCTCACTAGCCCAACCCAAATGTCTATTGTAGTTATTTAGGTGGACGCCCATCCAAACAACTGTAGTTCTGACTAGATAAACTATGGTGGGCTTGTAGATAAAGCTAGACTGCCCCATTGGCTATTGCAGAAGGGATAAAAGACATATGGCCAAAGGGGTGTGGTGCTCTGTGTGGCTAGACTAATAATAAACCAATAAAACTAGGCTACATCTATCTATAATGGTGTGAAATGGTTATCAATAACTTACTGTCTAGTGGCTAATAACTGTGATTAAACTGATTATAAGTTTACAACAGGAGTGCCGAGGAGTGCTCCGAGTGTGACATATCTGGAATTAAATGGGAGGGGCGCTATGCAGGTAGATAGGTGTGGCTAATTACTAATTAGCAGCTCTGCACTGAAAGCACTCGGAAAGCACTCAGCTGACTGGACTAGACTCACATGAGACTGGACTCCTTTGCTGTAAACTGTTCTGATGATATTGATGTCAAAGACTGTGCTAAGAACTCCTTTCAATATGAGATGTCGAGAGTTTGATGACTCCGGGAAATCATTTGGCCGGGCTCGGTTCCTTTCCAAAATTGCAATATCAAGTATCTATCTGTATTACATTTTCACCGATCAGTTTATGTAATAATAATTGTATATATTAGCTGAAGTATTAGGGATCAGGGTCAGTGTATATTTCCGCCGTTCAAAATTCCTAACGTAAGGAATTTAGATTTTATAGTAATTATCCAATAATCTAATGTCTTAATAATAGATATTTTGCAATATTCAAGTAAATCAGTAATTTTAAAAACTCTAAACATTGGTTTTTTTAATTAAGCTATGAAGTTCCAAAATTCTAAAGTTCTAAACTTTGGATTTTTCAATTAAGCTATAAAGTTTCAAAAGTCTAAAGTTCTAAACTTTGGATTTTTGAATTTAGCAATAATGTTTCAAAATTCTAAAGTTCTAAATATTAGATTTTTGAATTTAGCCGCAAATTTCTAAAATTCCAAAGTTCTAAATGTTGGAATTTTGCTTCTACCTGCAAAATTCTAAAGTTCTGAAGTCCCAAAGTAAATAAAAT